TAACATTTTCTAACCTGTAGTCATGAAGACGTTGACAAAATAGTAAAGTAATAATGAAGAATATTTAAAGGATCCAGGAGCCCTTGAAACACTGTTGACCCTCACTGAACACAAATTAATATTGCTGGCATTCATCCAGGTGCTTTTATTTTTGTTGAGTTTATGTGGAAGACCCAAGGCAAGAAACTCCTCACCCAAGCCTGGAATGTGGCCCTTAGTTCAATTTTGTACTTTATCATTTACCAGGTGTGTGGTCTTGTACAGCCTTTCCTCATTTATAAAATGGAGATGGCAAGAATGCCTATCATTTAGTGTTATTCTAAGGTCCTGAAAATATTATGTGACACATAGGAAAATACAGAAATTATATAATCTACAAAAGAGAAAACCTTTCAGAGGCAGCATCTCCTTCTAATTTCAAGAATAAAACCTATCTTGAACTTTGCAGCAGTATTCTAAAAGCCCACATGATGGGGAGGTTGCTCCATGCAAAGAGTAAACTACACAATCTGTAGTAGAGATCAAATTATCAGTAACTCCAATTTGGCAGCACAAAAGCATAGTTGCCATAGATGTAATGATGTGGATAAGTTGAGAGTTAGATACAGGTTGATGCATATGTACAGATAAACAGGTGAAGATGCACACATTGATTGATTATTGCTTGATACATCATGCAGACTATTTTAGGAAGAAAAATTTAATGCAAATACTAATGACCAAAATATTCATATACAGTTAAAGTAGCAAATATTTTTATATTTCTCAAATGGCTTTTTAAAGAATTATTGGAAATCCAAGTGCCCGGAGAAGCAACAATAGCTGCTTCTCAAAAAACAGCACCAAGCCGGGCATGGTGGCGCACACCTTTAATCCCAGCACTCAGGAGGCAGAGGCAGGCGGATCTCTGTGAGTTCAAGGTCAGCCTGGTCTACATAGTGAGTTCCAGGACAGCTGGGGCTACAGGGAGACCCTGTCTCAAAAAGACCATAAAAAAGCACCAAAAAAAAAGAAAGAAAAGAAAAAAAGAGAAAGAAAGGAAAAAGAAAAAGAAACAAAAAATAGCTCAGCTGTTGGGCCTGGCTGTACACGCCTATAATCCCAGCACTTTGAAGGACAGAAGCAGAGGGATCAAGTTCAGTTTTGTCTATACAGTTATAGGCCAAACCCTATCTCAGACAAACAAACAAAGAAACAAACAAAAGAAAACAAATACACCACACACACACACACACACACACACACACACACACACACACACACCAGTTAGATCCCTCCCCCCAATTTCACATTAGGAAACATTAAAAGCTTTCTTGGGAGGAAACAAGGAAGCAGAGACCCTTTATCAGGGTGATGTGGAAATCATCCTGAGAGGAACAGACAGCACCAAGTACTGTGAGTCAGGAGCAGTGTTGAATCCAAGTGAGTGAACACTGGACTCATAGTCTTCCAAACCTCCAGGGAGAAAAGACTGTTAGAGACAACCACTGTGCAGCTGACACACTCGTGTGGCGGTGGCTTGGGAGAATGGGCAGGGCTCTACTAAGAGCCAGCTTGTGGCTGGAGACCTGGAGAGGGAAGAGGCTGGCCTTGCCTCTCCTCAGCTCCTGCTCTCCACTCTCTCAGGCCTTCTGCAAAGCAGGAGACTGGAAGTAATTGGGAAGTGTTTATTTAGTAAAGATTTAATCCTCTGTTCTTTATTTTATAGCCAACAGGTTGTTTCTTTTCTCTCTTTAAAACAAGTTTCTTTTATTTTAGATTTTAGTGTTGTAAAACATTTCATATATACTTATAAGTGTGTGTTTATACACATTAATTCTATACATATACACATATTTCTCAATAGATACACATTTCAAATCCACATCATACAATGAAAAACAAAGAAACTGATTTTGATAGCTATATTTTTCTCTGGAATATTATGCTAAATTATTTATAAGGATACAATTTAGAGTAACATGGTATAACAATGTCTAATTTTTAATTTTTTTCTGTCTACCCAACAAAAATATTTTTTAAAAATGTATTTTAGCTATCAGCTATTTCCAGTGAACTGCTTCTTGTGTAAAGTCTAATTATAACAACCATCCAAGTGTATAGCTCAAGCCTGGTATCCCATGCAAATGCAGGATTTAGTAGAACAATTTCTATCTTAGCTGTTAGTGAACTTCATGTCAATGTTTCATTTTTATATGAGTGTTCTCTGAATCAAATAAAAGGACTCATAAATGTTTCAAACGTTTGACAAATGTAATGAAAAAGTAACAAATTAAAGCTAAGAAATTTATGTCCCATTAGGGCAGAGGGAAAAAATCAGGGAGCAGCATATGGTGGCATAATTAGTATGATTAGGAAATCACATTGGCAGAACTCACATGCGGGGGCAGTGTAATGAGAAGCTCGCCTATCTGCTGCAATGCCTTGAAAAATGTTTCTTTAAACAATAAAGAAGAAAGAAAAGATAGTCTCCTGTCCGTCCTGATGAGCAAAATGTTCAGCCATCTGGGAGGGTCTCGTGTTTTCAAAGTCCTCATTCTCTTGATGTTTTGATTCATGTAAAGTAAGCCATACATTTGCTATTTTTTGAGAAATATGGTATTTTGAAATCAACTGTACTCATTTCTCAGCTTCAAAGTAGCAGGTCGAATATTCTCTTTGGTTCCTCACTAAGTAACACATTGTTTCGTTATCACATCTGTAATAAGTCCCACAATTACACATTTAGGTTAGGGTAGTTATGCTTTTAATATTACTGTTACTTGTTTGGTAGTATGAAGTCTGGGATAGTAAGTAAAAATTACCATCCTTCAAGTTTTAGGGCAGAATAAGAAAGAATAATGCTAAAAATAGCATTGCTTGAAATTATTCTCATGTTCATTTTGCAATTTATTAGAATCAAGAAAATTTAAAAATATTTCATAAGGATTGGTGCCTTGTACTATAAGATTATCATTAATTCAGCAATACTTTCTTTTTTAGATTTCAAAGTTTATTTATTGATATATTTATTAAATATTGAAAATATTTTGAGGTTTTTGAGACAGGGTCTCCTTGTAGTCACAGCTGGCCTGGAACTCACAGCGATCTACCTGCCTCTGCCTCTTCAGTGCTGGGATTAAAAAATATGTACCAACATACCCGGCTACATATTAAACTTTGTTTTTAAAAATAGATTTAAAAATGGAAGTGTGTGGGTGTCTGTGTCTGTGTGTATATCTGTGTGTGTGTCCCTGCATGTGTCTGAGTATGGTATTTGTAAGTCAGTGCAGGACTGTGGGTGCCCATGGACACACGTGCAGATAAGTCATCTCTGCCTTACTGCCTTGAGACAGGATCTTTTAGAGAACCAGGAGCTTGCCCTTTCCACTCAGCTGGCTGGCCAGTGAGCCCTCAGAATCCGCCTGTCTCTGTTCCCCCAGTGCTGGGGTTGCAGCCACGTGCAAGTCATGCCTGGATTTTTACATGAGTGCTAGGGATTCAAAGTTAGATCTCACAAGTGCTCTTACTCACTGGACCCTCTCTCCAGCTGCCTAAAAAAAGACAATAACCAAGGACATGAAATCGGAGTGGCAGTAGTAAGGTGGAGGTGGGAAGGGGGGGGGGCATCTGAATATGACCCAAATGCTTTGTATGAAATTCTCTCAAATCAATGAAAAAAGTTTTTAAATAAAATAAAAATTGGAAATATTTTTAAATGAAATGGTAACTATCCAATAATTGGAAGAGAGCTATTTCACTTGTTTAATTTGCATAAGTCATCTTAGTTTAAGTGAATGCCAAAGAATTCAAGTAGGGTTCAGATTCTTCTTCCTATTCATGCCACATTAACAAAATTATCTTATCTTCTAGGTCTGCAACTCCAGAGATTTAGTTCTGAGTCACTCTATAAGCCACTCTAATAAGCATAGAAGTCTATGGTTCCTAAGTAAGGTAGGCTTTTCTATCCTTAAAACTCTGACAATGTCACAAGTAGATCATAAGCTAGTGGAGGACTTGTTGAATTATGAGTTCTCTTAGGGCCACTTATTTTCCTTGGAGTCTAGTTTCCTTATCTGTAAAGTGAATATTACCTGTTATATGCATAGAGTGGTTATTAAACAGAGTAACATAAGTGAAGCCACTTTATTAATTGTAGAGAACTGAACCAATATTAACTAGCAGTTTATTAGCAATATTTACCAGCAAAGGGAATACCATCCATTTTTGGTTTATAACTCCAGTGCTTAAAATAGTAGTTGGCAGATAAACTCCCCAAAGGTTCTGTGGAACTAAATTGAATCAAGACCAATGGAACTTGAAGCAGGGGAATAAACAAACACAGTAGAATTTGAAACAGAAACAAAGGAAATGTGTTTGAAAGCCTCCATAGTATAAGTGAAGTCTCAGATTCCAGGAGCAGAAAAACTAAAAATGAATCACTAAAAATTTACCCCAATTCAAATTCTCCCTTCTAGTTGTAGAGAGAAGTAAAATCAAAAGAAAGTACTTGACAAATAGTCTAGCATAAGTAATGAAGAAACTGTATCTGAAAAGCTTGCCAATATTTCTGTGTAAAATACCAAGCCTGCTTCAGAAAGCAATCGAGTAGGCAGCCAATGTAGGAGGTAGAACAGGAGAGGCTGGGGACAGGGTAGGGTTTGTGTTGTACTTTTCCAAGTTCAAGTAGGAGAACTACACTGACAAGTTTGCTTCTGGTTGTTATCAACTTATTTTATTTTATTTTATTTTATTTTATTTTATTTTATTTTTGCACCTGGTGATGACAAAGAAAATACCCCAGAACACAATGGAAATATTCCAGAGAATTTAATACCACATCACATAAATCTCCATAAAGGGAAAAATCTGGTATACAACACTTAGTAGCAACACAGTTTACAGGCTGGGGTAGAATAAACTATCCAATTAGTGATTTGTGCTTAGAAGTTTTCCTGGAGGAAGTTTCAAGTCTTAAAAAAAAAAAAAAAAAAAAGCAAACAACAGATTCCAATCTTTAAGGTCGTTTTCTAAGGTCAAGTTTTAAAAGACAAAATAACCATTTACCATGCTTATACCATTACATACTATATGTGTTTGTACATTTCTGACCCATAACTCAGTTTTACTCTGTTGCGCATCACACAGCCGTACAAGAACACCCCTTTCCTCTTCTTTGTCCATCTTCCCCTAAAGCGGGTGCCTCTTTTATCTATTCCCATGTCTTCTTTTCTCCTTTGCTGCTTGTTCCTGTAAGAGAATTCGAGGTCAGTAACAGAAAACTCAGTCAGAAGAACCCATCCATGTTCATCTATTTGTTCATCTCCAAATCATACTGAGTTCTAAACTGGGTAAAGGACTTGCTTAATGCCATTCTGCCACAATGAAGAGAAACCACTACCTCTGCCATAGCATCTCACTGTATTTCCTTCCTGGAATTTATCATTACGTGAAATGATGTCATTCATTTATTAATATATGCAGATAATGACTATCTTGAAATCACTTAAATATACACTAATAGATCAAAAGCATTTAATTATCTTATTATTACCTGTATCTCGAGCACATAATGGGGGAAATGCCATAAATATTCATATATACTTATTGAGTAATGAACCAGAATTTTGGTCTCTTCATAAAAATATACTTTGGAAGGGACAGGATCTCACTGTAGCCCCAGTTGGCTTCAACCTCACAGAGAATCACCTGCCTCTGCCTCTGGAGTGCTGGAATTAAAGGCATATGCCACCACACCCAAATATAAAATACACTTTTTCAAAATTATACAAAATAATCTTATGGAAAACACTGTGGAATGATTAAGGAGATCTAGATGGTTTTATCCAGCTAGCATAAACACTGCCTCACTTATGAATTTTAATTAATGCAAATATCTGGTGATTATTCATATTTTCAACTCCTCAACACTTACAAGCAGCCTGCGCTTTCATGCTCGGGAGATGAGGTAAGTCCCTAAATTCTGTTCATTCGGGAATCCAGTACTGCTGACTGTTCACAGATACCCATGCTCATTTACATCATGAAAATCCTAATTTGTTTGTGAGGTGGCAAGAGACCCAATTCAAAGCATTTACTTTCTCAAAATCCCTTCTGTCAGAGCATGGCCCTGTGACACAATGTTGGCCCACCAGACAGCAGCTAAGGGTTTCTGAGAACCATACTTCCTTGCTGGAACTTCTCTCCCATCTTACTCCCACCTACTCCCAGTGCTCTTTCCACTTGGAGCGGATGTTAAGAAAAATAAGAAGAGCCCCTTGTTCTACTGTCTACATCCTGGGTATTCCAGTGCATGGGAGGAAGCAGCCTTGGTGTCACATTGTTTGCTGATTTCTCTATTGTTTATTGTCAAGTGCTTTCCCTATTTGACACTATTTTGAGCATTTATTTAGTATATACACTAAATATAGGCTTTACTTTCCCATCTTTAGAACAAAGGACACAAACCAGAACTCAATAACTCAATGACGTTTCCAGTGCAGAACATGCCAGCGCCTGTAACGTGGTGTCACCTGTGGACAACAGAGTCTGGGTGATGTATTCTACAGGCATTCTGAGGTTTTGCTTTGTTTTCCATCTTCAAGTGGCCTTCTGGTGCTCAGGGGCCTTTTTAAGTTAAGCTACCTGGAGAATTTCAGTTTCCTGCTACTCTGATATTTTGGGAATTCTAATATCACAGCAGTGTCACAGACTGTTAGAATTCAAGTTCATTCCCAGATTAGCTCAAAGTCAGAAAAAAAGAGAAAACACAGGAAAATGCAGTCTTTTTAGCAGAGTAAGACAAAGTTGAAAATAACTCTAGTATCATTTTAAATTTTCTATTCTTATAGTTTGTTCTTCAAGTCACCAAACTTGAAGTTTCTTTCTTCATAAATTTTTGTCTTTAATGCATTTGATCTTCCCTCTATTGACAAAAATCTTCATTATCTGCACAAATTAATGGCTAAATATAATCAAGGCATCAATGTTTGTGTCACCAAATGAATGCCAAAGAAAGATCTATGGTTGAATGACAGCCTCCTTTCAAAATGTATTTATGTATATTATTTCATTAAATTCTTATACTGCTGTAGAATAGAAACCTTTATCTTCATTGTGATCCAAATTGTAAGGGGGGTGGTGTTTGCAAAGCTTAGTCCTTATATATCAATGTCAATTCAGTAGAAATCTGCACCCTCAACATTTTCTTATCTCGAGTTGCTATTTAGTTCTTCATGTTATGACATTAAGAAATGCAATAATCTAATTTCTTTAACAGATTTCACATCTCAGCAACGTATTAATTAATGTGTCTGTAAGGACCTTGAGAAGTGTTCTTTTGAAGTCAGTGACTTATAGAATGAAAAAGAATGTTTCTTTCCTTATCCTCTTTACTCAGAAGTAAATGCTGCAAATTGAATAATGGCAGAAACACTTTCATATAAGCAGACATGCTTTTTCTATTATTAACTTTGCACTTAAACTTTGATTTTATATGCAAATGAGAAACATAAAAAGATTTTTGACATTAATGCAATGAACATGGCATATTTATGACTTAATAAATTTATATTGCAAGTCAATGAACACTGAAATACATATACCAGCATTGCCACAACAATATCCAAAGCCAATGCTTCTAGAAATTCATTCGTTTTTTTATAGTTTTTGTGATTCAGGGTACTACTATAGTCTCTGAATATAATTTTAAATATATTCCCACTTTAAATTTCACTCATTCTAAACAATAATCACTATAAAATCATAGATTGAGATTTTTATATACTATGATATTATTCATAACTATAAAAGAAAAATAACTTGATCATGACCAGCCTAAAATTATCTTATTTTTCCACAATGTGGAAACCATTGGCAATTCAAAGTGAAATGGTAAAAATTTGTTTAGAATTTGGTTTGGGAATAGCTCTTTAACTTGAACTACTCTATGAAGATTACAAATTTATTATCCAATAGTGAGCACTCAGACCTAGCTGCCTGCCCTGCTGCATTCTTTGTCTCTCTTTTTCTGTGTAGGAGATAGAAACATAATCTGTAACATAATCACTTGGCAAAACCTTTCTTATATTCGGCACAAAGAACTGAAGATGTCAAAGTTGAGTGACCACGGTAATGAGAAAAGTTTGGGAATAGTTGATGATGTTTTACCAAAGAGAAGAAATCACTTAGGAGATGATTTCTTGATATCTGATTGACTAAGACATGGGAAAGGAGTTACAGGAATTCTGTAGTGTTCAGAGTTGCTGAAAGAGGAATATGAAAGGATGTGGAGAAGGGGTGGGTATAGCACAGAGTTCTAGTACGTTCCAGGTCTAGTAAGTCGAACTTTGGGTGATTGGGGCATGACCAGAGATGCTTAGGAGCAAGTGGAGAAACTCTTTTCCATGTCAAAAAGGACTTGCATTAGATGAGGTTCAGATAGAAAGTTTCTGGACTCTAACTCTGGCAATGTCGGACATCAATTATTCCATGTCCACTAGGCTGAGCTAGGCATCTTGTCAATCTTACCTCATTCATGTCTCAGTGACACTGTAGGTTCAGCATGAACCTTTGCAAGTGGAGAAATTGAATTTAAAATTTGGTAGATGCTGAATTTGAATCCAAGTCAGAATTACTCAAAGTTTGTTTATTCCCCATAATATTATCGAATGAATATGGTTTGGCAGATATAAAATTTTGGGGAGTGTTGATCAGAAAGTTTCTTTGTCCATTCATTCAAACTGAAGCCACATTGTCCTTTGGAAGAATGGTGGGGTTTTTTGTAGATTCTAATTGTGGGAAAAGAACATTGAAAACCCACTATCTCATCCGATTTCCTGCAAATTTCTGAGAAAGCCACATATTTCCCAAGGAAAACTTAAGCTTTAAGCTATTAGTGCTTTATGATTTGAGAGTGGAACACAGAACAGAAGAAACCACCATATCCCAAGGAAAACATGTTCCTTAAACACTGATCCTAAGAATAGAGCACAGCACAGCAGAATCCAGAAGCCAAGTTGTTTCCAGATCATGTTAAGAATCAGCAATAGCTTTGGTTTCTTTGTGTTTGCCTAAACCCTTTTGAAAAGAAAGTATAGAAGTGTCTATTCAAGTTAAGGGAAAAAGTTATTTTAAGTTTCTAGTACCTCAATGAGTCTCAAAAAGTGTCAGGATGTTTTTGAGACAGAAACAGCTCAAAAATCACTTACAAGAAATATGGACCTTAATAAAGTTTTCATTAGTCTTTTGCAATTATTTATTTATTGAATGTGTGCTACATGTGGAAGTCATAGGACAACTTGCGGGAGTCAGTTCCCTCCTCCCACCATGTGGATTCCAGAGATTGAACTAAGATAAGGTTGTCAGTTGACAGAAAATGCTCTTGCCCACTGAACTATCTCACTAGAGTCTCCTCTTAATGTTTTAAAAAAATCTTTACTTTTTCCTTTCATGAAACTTTGGAACCTCCCTAAAATCATAGATTTATGGAGGAAAATGAGCATTCTTCCATTGTCACTAAATTCTTCACTCAAATAGCATGAGCAATAAAAATTGGTCAAAAGGCTAGAACTGTGTGTCAAAGTATATTCAAGAAATATCTACAGTCTTATAAAAAGTTGCTGTTATCTAATGCCAGTTCTACAGAGAAATTATTTTTCTCTTTATTTTCACAGCTCCCCACAGAATACCTTCCTAGTTCCTTTAAAAAACTAGTTGTAAAATTAGTGTGAGTATATGGCAGAGTTAATGAAATTTCTCACTGTGTGATACAGAAAAATGAAAGAATGTTAATGATTTATACAAATGCAACAGGCGTGAGGAAAGCCCAGTGGAAGAATATGTGCATATACAAAGCCCCGAGTTCACTCCCTAGGAATGAAAAAATGAAACTCCAAACAACAATAAGAAATCCCAAGCAAAAAAAGCAATATGAAGCAGTTGGCTTAAATTTCAAGTAGTTAAAAGAAGAGCAGAATAGATTTGCCATGTTTTTATTATAAATTCTGCACTTTTCAATGACTAGATGAAATGCTGAGAAATAAATAGTGCACAGCTTAGAAAAAGAAGAGGATTCTGTTTCTTTAAGAAACCATCAATGTGCTGTGGAGGAGAAACTTGTTTCACATCTGATGTATTTTGAATGAACAAAACTGGTGTTTCTCCATCTTTCATCTCGAAGTAAGCTCCGTTCTGTTGTACATACAGAAGCATGCTAAATGCAGATATTTACTTAAATGCTTCCTAGATAT